GACTGCTGACATTTTTCTTTTGACCAGTGTCTCTTAAGTTTAGTTGTACTGTCTCCAAGGGAAGTTGACGTGTCCTATAGAACTCTTGTGTAGATTGTTTTCCTTTCTGTGTACCTGGAAGATGCCTCCTTTTGCTGTTATCCGAGGTGACCTTGCCCAGTGACGCCTCCTCCCTCTCTCTCTGGCCGGGTTTCACTGGGTCTGACCTGGAAGACGCCTCCTTTTGCTGTTATCCGAGGTGACCTTGCCCAGTGACGCCTCCTCCCTCCCTCTCTGGCCGGGTTTTAGTATAGTTAATTCTCATATTAACTCTACCCTTACCACACAGAGTTTGCCTATACATTTTCTCATTTTGGGGTTATCTTCATTCTTCTGTAGTTTCTAGGCAATCATAAAACAGAAGAGATGACATCCTGGAAACCAAGTGAAGAAAGGGTTGTAAGGAATGGGGAAAGATCAGATGCCATAAACACTATTATGACAGTTAAGATACTGTTCTAGAATTAGCCATTGGATTTACCAGTATACAAACTGTCTTAGTTATTTAGTGCTACTGCAGCAGAAATACCACAAGTGTATAGTTTTTACAAATAGAAATGTATACTTTCACAAAAGGCTCAAGAGTCAAATGCAGATTGCCAGCTCCACAGGATGATATATTCTCCCTCTTGGTTCTAGGGAGAGGCTGAACACTGTGACACTGATGTGTCAAATGCATTAATGGCTGGTTACCCAATGCGGACTGAGAGTGGGGTGGAGCTCCCCGATTAAAACAAGTGTGGAAGGAGGAGTGGCATCCACTTCCATAATAGCTTGCCTCCGGAAACTCTTTGAATCTGGAGAGAGGATGAAAGACACACAAGCATTGAGGACCCTCTTTCACAGGGTCGCTCTGAAGTGCCTGCGACTCGACAGCACTGAACAAGAACATTAATATGTCTTGGGAAAAGGGTGGCCAGCATGCTCCTTGGAGGCGAAGATGAGGAAGCTTCATCTCTCATACTTTGGATATGTAGCTAGCCAAGGATATTCCTTGAAAAGAGACGTCATGCTTGGAAACATGGAGGGTCAGCAAAGGAAAAGACGACCTCAAACCAGTTAGATTAACATGGTGACTTCAGTGGGCTCTCGTATGTCAAAGATGGTCAAGATAGCACAGGACAGGGCATATTTCAGGTTGGCTGTTCGTAGGGTCTTTATCAGTCTTACTTGACTTAGTGATACCTAAGAATAACAATAATTAATGATAAACATGCAAGTAAAATGTTACTGAAGATTATTAAAAAATGACTGGAACAACAAATCAACAGGGATTAGAGCTGAAGTCAGATGAGACCGCAGTACATTGCTAGTGTCAGATGAATCTTGACTGACAGCAGAGACAACCAGTAGTAACTAGTTACTGTTCAACTTTTAATTCACTTTTACAAAATAGGCACTTTCTTGGTTCCTTCTACTTAAAAGAAATTACAGATGTTTCTTTATATTCTGTTAGTATTGTCAAAAAATTGACTTGTAAGTCTAGGTTGCTAAAATAATGTTAAGTTGGCAAGTATCACCAATAAATACTTATAAGTATTTGTTTCTATATCCAGTTCATTCTTGCAGGATCCTTTATAATAAGAACAACAAAGCATCCAAATAAATATCTGGTAAGTTGAAATATCTGTGGCATCTCTAAATATACCTGTATCAACAAGCTAGATAGGATTGACTGCAAAGGTGGTGTCTCAATAATGAAGGAATCTACCTGTGTACATAGTAAATGAACACATAACTCAACAGGTGGTTGTGGTGATGTGTGGTTGGTTGAGTTGGAACCAACTCAGAGCTGACCCTCCAGCAAGTTTTCAGAGGCACTAAATCGCATAGGTGGAGAGTGCCCTTCCTTCTCCCTCAGAGCAGCTGGTGGATTTAACATGCATACCTTTGAGACTACAGTGCAACAAAATTAAACCAGAGATTCAATTGTGTCAATGTTTCTAAATTTATAGGGGTTTTGGTTTGTTTGGATGGTCTACATTTAACATGGGGAGAGTTTTCCTATAAGAAAAAAAAATTTAAACGACTTAATTTGTTTATGTGTCATTCATTGCCAGGAAGTTGGAACTGACATGTAGCTGGGTCTCTAGTGGACTTCCAAAGCTACATATCATGTGAAAGGAGATTGTCCACCATTCTCCCAAGAAGCAGCTGGTGGGTTCAAACCACAGAGAACCACCTTTGCATTAGCACAGCTCACTAGGAACTATTCCACCAGGGCTCCGTAGTTGCTTTATTTAAAGACATAATATTTCTGTAAAACTCCATTTGCCATGTTATTCTAACTTGTAGTAAATTAAGGATCTGTCCAGAATAAAAAGTATATACATTTTTGTTTGTTTGTTTGATTTTGATGGTCTAGTTATTTTTAACATTATGGGTGTTTTTCTATTGGAAAAAAATGTAAAGGCCTTCATTTCTTTATATTGTAACCAAACTACTCATTCTCTAAATGCAATTACTAAGAAAACATCTCCAGTGTGCTCCTTGAATTTGGACTCTTCTTCCCATTAAATTAGAATAGCAAAACAAGAGTCCGGGCTTTCCTATGCAAGTAAGAAATTTATTAGGAAAAAAGAATTTGCCAAGGGAGACAAGATAGAGAAGGCAGCACTAGGCCATGACTCATCAAACAGGAGGAGGCAGTAACCGCAGCAACGGGCTTGAATGTGTCAGAGATTGTGAGGACAGCACAAGATTGACAGGATCTGTTGTTCTTAGGGTCGCTGTGCATCATCCTAAACTGGAAGCCACCGAACACCTAACACCACCAATTATTGTCTTAACAGAAGGGAATGAGAACGATAGCTAGCTGCATGAAGAAGAGTTTAACTTGATAGAGAAGTCACTTTTTTCAAAACGTCTTTCTAGACTTAACAGTCACTTCTTTTTGAAATATTACTAAAGACATCTACATCGTATAGCTTTCTTGCATGTTTCAATATAAAGATGTATTATTTCTGTAAAACTATATTTCCCGGGTTTAAAACTTCATTTCTAGTCCACCAGCAACTCTGAATGAAAAGGCCGTCTCCCCCTGCAAGACTGCGAGCTTCCAGAAAGCCTGCTGGGAGGCTTAGCCCGGAGTCTGTTCTACCACCATGGCAAGGAGTTGAGTTGATGGCATAGGAAGACTCTTGGGAGGAAAAAAAAAATATGCACTAGTGTCTTAGAGCTAAAAATCCTGTCAGAAATTACAAAGCTCATGTCCAGATACCTTAATAGGTTTCTCCAGCTAATTAAAAAAAAAAAAAAAAAAAACCTCAAATTCCCACTGGGCTTCATACTACAAGAGATTTTTCAGTTTGGTCTTTTTTTTTTTTAAATTTTTAATGACTAAACCTTTTTGCTCAAATTGTTCTTGTTGTGTACTATAGACTTGGAACCAACACGTAACTGACCCTCCAGCGAGTTTTCAGGGGCAGTTAATGGCATGGGAAAGATTACCTATCCTTCTCCATCAGAGCAGCTGGTGACCTCGAACTGCCTGCCTTTGAGATTACAGTGTAGCTTCTTGTTCAAATTATACATTACAAATATCTCTCCCAATTGTTCCATAAGATTATAAAATATAATCTTTTTAAAGCCCAGATGCAATGTTGATGCTTAGGGGTTTGATGATGTTTTCATTCCCCACCCCCACCCCAGATTCACCTGGTTTCCTCCTTAAAGCATAAAAATGCTTTGTTCTGAAAGCAACCATCCCAGTACTTCTAAAACTTCGGAAACTATAGATCACAGTTTTAATGTTGTGATTCTTTTCTCGTCAGCATGTATTATTTAAGTAAAAAGGGCTGCTTCTGAGTATAAGAAATGAATGCACGCTCTCCTCTTTTCAGATTATCAGTGCTTTGCTCCTGAACGTCTTCGCCTTCCTTACTGGAGTAGCTGGAATCATTCTAACACTCGTGGAGCTGTCCAAGTTCCCTTCTGTGTCCTATAGGAGTTATGGGCAAGCAGTAAGTACCCAACATGACAGGAACTTTGTTCCTTTCAGAATCACTTTTCAGTACTTTTAAAAGGACATAAAATAGAACATTCATTGTTCTTCAGGACGCTTTGATTTCTTTAGTTTTAAGTTGTTGGTTGAGAGTTTGCCTTCAGAAGCAATTCTAAGATCTTTTTATATGTATTAATAAAGTGTTTGAATCTTTGTTGTTGTCATCATTGTTATGTGCCATAGAGTCGCTGTGACTCATAGTGACCCTATGTACAACAGCCCTATACCCGGCACTGTCCTGTGCCAATTTTCTCGTCTCTAACACATCTACCTCCATTACCCCAGTCACTGAATCAATCCATCTCATAGAGGGTCTTCCCCTCCTGCGCTGTCTCTCCACCCTTCCAAGCATGATGTCCCTCTCCAAGGACTGGCCCCTCCTTGCCACATGCCCAAAGTATGTCAGATGAAGCTTCAGAATCCTTGCCTCCAAGGAGCAGCTTGGCTTTTCCCTCGCTAGGATGAACCTATTTGTTCTCCTAGCCGTCCATGGTATATTCAACACTCTTCTCCAGCACCACAGCTCAAAGGCATCAATTCTCTTTTTCTATTATCCTTAGTCATTGTCCAGCTCTCTGACTCATAGCAAGCAAGTGTGAAGACCATGGCCTGGATCAGGTACATCTTACTTTCTAGAATGACATCATTCTTTTTCAGTACTCTGGAGAGGTTCCTGATAGCTGACTTTCCCAATGTATTTAGTCTCTTGATTGCCTGTCTTCTGGTAACAAGAGTATTGATTGTGGAACTGAGCAAACAATCAAAATCTTCACTAACCAGTCATCATGCTGCCAATTGGCCCAGTGGTGACAATCTTTGTTTTCTTGATGTTGCATTTCAATCCATATTGAAGGCTGCCGTCCTTGACCTTCTGCAGCAAGTGCTTCCAGTCTTCCTCAGTTTCAGCAAGCAGGGTTCTGTCATTTTATTTTATCCAGTCCTGATGCCACATTCCTCATCATACAGCCCAGCCTTTGGATGATCTGTTCTGCATATAGGTTGAAAAGGTTTGGAGCAGAATGCATCCCTGGCATAGGCGCTTCCCAATTTTGAACCCTGCGGTGTCTCCTTGCTCTGTTCTGACAACAGTACTCAAGTAATTAAAAGCTGGGCTATCTTTGGAAAATATACTGTGAAGGACCTCTCCAAAATTCTGAAGAGCAAGGATGTCAGTTTAAAGACAAAAGTGGGACTGACCCAAGCCACAGTCTTTTTCCATTCCTTCCTACATATCTGAAAGTTAGGCGGTGAATGAGGCAGACAGACGAAGAATGTGTGGCTTTAAATTGTCGTGTTGGCCAGGATTGCTTCCGCATGGATTGCCAGAGTCCACGTGGAAGAAGTGCAGCCTGTGCTCCTTCGAGGCCTCCTCCGAGCATTTTGTCAGGGAGCATCTGAGAGAGTCTCACCGATGTTGAGAAGGAACAGTCTTGTAGCTGATCCTCCATCAGGTTCTCCTAAGCTGTAAACTGCACAGAGGCCGATTTCTCATCTTTCTCTTGCAGAACAACTGATGGATCCACACTGCTAGTCTTTAGGTGGCAGCGCAGCCCCTTGCCACCTAGGCAGGCTGCCAGAGCTTCCCAATCAGTCCTTGAAAAAAGCGAAAGAGAGGAAGACCCTCAGGGAGATCCTTCTCCACGAAGCGGCTTTAGCAGCGGTGTTGAGCGAGGGGCTCCTGAGGATGGTGCAAGATAGGGCAGGGTTTCCATCTCTTCTTACAGGTCCGTGTGAGAAGTCCGCTCAAGACCATTTAACAGCAGTGCAAGTCTTTAAATTATCTTCCTGCAAATATTAGACGTGAAAGAACTCTCTATACTTGAGTTAAGCTTATTTTCTCTTTACCTCAAAATACGTAACTTTGCACTCAGGGTATTTTCTCATATTATGAAATCATGGCATATGGGTAATGATAGGCATTTTAGCTTTATTGTCCTCTTACTTTATTTCTCTTATTTGGTGCTGTCTTTCTATCTCATTGCTGTCAAGTCAGAACTGACTAATAGGATTTCCTGGACTGTAAGTCACATGAGAAGAGGCTCCCTGTCTTTCTCCCTTTCAGCGGCTGGCCATTGTGAAGCCCCAGAGAGGCATACCCATTGGGTCAGCAGAGCAACTTGCAATGGAATAAACCCCAAGAAGTCTCTTATTTTGCTATATTTATTAAATTCTTTCTATAACAGTAATAAGTTTCAGAGAAAGAAGTTAATAACTTGACTCTACCTAAAATTCTCCTTCCTGTTTTCTTCTTTCTTCAATCTCTTCCCCATCTATCATGATGCTGTCTGTTGGCCGAGTGGTGAGAATCTTTGTTTTCTTGATGGTGAGCTTCAATCCATACTGAAGGCTGCAGTCCTTGACCTTCTGCAGCAAATTCCTCAGGCCCTCCTCAGTTTCAGCAAGCAGGGTTGTGTCATCTGCATAATGCAGGTTGTCGATGAGTCTTCTTCCAATCCTGATTCACATTTCTCCTCATGGAGCCAAGCCACCCAAAAAAATCTATTCCACATATAGATTTAAAAGTTATGGAGCCAGTGAAGCTAGTGGAGATGGTGAAGAGTTTGAGTTTATAAAGAGCTTCAGTTTGCTTGGCTCCACAATCAACATTCTTGGTACCAGCAACCAGGAAACCAAAAGATGAACTGCATTGGGAAAGTCTGCTGTCAGAGACCTCTCCAGAGTACTGAAGAGGAACAGCGTCAGTCTGAAGACTAAGGTGCTTCTGATCCAGGCCATAGTCTTCACAATTATTTGCTATACATCAGAAAGCTGAACAATGACTAGGGATGACAGAAGGAGAATTGATGCCTTTGAGCTGTCGTGCTGGAGAAGAGTACTGAATATACGATGAGACAAGGTTTAAATTGTCAAGGATTTCATTTGACTTGGATCCACCATCAAGTCATGGCAGTGGCAGTCAAGAAATCAAAACCGTCGCATTGGGAAAAATGACTGTCAAAGGCTTCTCCAAAGGGCTAAAGAGCAACAATGCCAGCTAAAAAGGTGCACCTGAAGCAAGCCATGGCACTTTTCAGGTGCTTCCTGTGCACCTGAAAGTTGCACAGTGACTAAAGACGACTGAAGCATCTATACCTTCAGATGCTAGCAAAGAGTATGGGATAGGCCTTCAATATGGATTGCATCTCAATGTTAAGAAAACAAAAATTCTCACCAGTGGATCAATAGGCAATATCACAATAGCTGGAGAAAAGATTTAAGCTGTCAACAACTTCATCTTGCTTGGATCCACAATTAATACCCTTGGTACAAGCAGTCAGGAAATCAGGAGATGTATTGCACAGGGAAAGTCTGCAGTTAGGGACCTGTCACAAATTACTGAGGAGTAATGATGTCAGTTTGAGGACTAAGGTGTGTCTGATTCAGGCCATGGTTTTTCCTGATCACTTTGCTGTGCATCTGTGAGCTGGAAAATGAATAGGAGGAATGAGAGAAGAAGAATTGATGCCTTTGAGCTGTGGTGTTGGAGAAGAGGACTGACATCCCGTAGACTGCCAAACGAACAATCTTGGAGAGGGTACAGCTGGAGTGCTCTTTGGAGGCAAAGATGTTGAGACTTCACCTCACATACTTCCGTGATGTTGGTAGCAGGGGCTATTGCTTGGAGAGGGACATGATGCTGGCAAGGGTAGAGGTTCCACAAAGGAGAAGAAGACCCTCAACCAAGTGGATTGACACGGTGACTGCCACAGTGGGCTCATGTGTCAGGAAGTGTGAGGATGGCGCAGGAAAGAACAGGGTTCAGATCCGTTGTTCATAGGGTTGCTATGAGTCTTACTCAACTCAATGTCGCCTAACAACAACAAGTGTTCCCTTACTCTCTGTTGTTATCATTGTTGTTGTTTTGTACTATCGAGTTGGAACTGACCTGTAGCTGACCAATGGTTTTCAGAGGCAATAAATCACATTAGGTGGAGATTGCCCATCCTTCTCCTGTGGAATCTTATCATGAGACAGAATCACTTCATATGGTCAGTTCTGACTCCTAGTTACTCTACATGACAGTTTAGCATGATGGTGTCCATCTTTGTCCCGCTAAATGGACAGTAGGCCCATGAGCTTCGGGTGTTTTGGTTAGCAGGGACAATACTTGAACTACGGTGCCACCAAGCTATCCAAATCTTATTTACTGAAGAATTTGGATAATGAGCTGTGCTAGAACGCTAGTAGAGAGAAGAGTAAGAATGAAGACTTGGAAGAAGTGAGACTGTTGCGTGAGGAGGTGCAGGGCTGAAGGTGCAAGACGTGGAGTTGGGGAAATGAGAGCAGTAAAGCTGAAGGCAGAGAAGTAGGAATTCCTGCAGCGATAAATGACAAGAGAGGCTCATTTGCTCTTCCCGTTTTCCTTGACTGTCATACTAAGAGCTCCGTCAGTGAAGGTTTTTTCCATTGCTGGGGTTAATAGTGTAAGACTGTGTCTTCTTTTCTGCTTTCAGAAACTTGGGAGGGAGGTGTCTCGTCTCTTACTGCTTTCCTACCACCTGGAAATTGGAGTTTCGTTTGTGTACTCACTCTTCAGCTTCCTTCACCTGGTGAGTGTTCATCTACACTGGCAAATCAAGAGATGTCGGTTATTAATCTGCACAGGAAGTGTGCGGATGCATTATGTTTAGAACAAAAAGAAAACCCCAACCTCTGTTCTATTACATTTACTTTCCCATTGCTATGATTGCTTATAAAATTAAAAAGCTAATATATGAAATTTCAAGTTCAAAAATTATAGCACTAAATGTGATTACTCTCACACTGTGCTGTTATGAGGTGCCCTTGGGTCTGGGATGACTCATCGTGACACTATGAACAACAGATCGGAACCCAGTCTTATCTTGTGTCGTCTTTATCATCACTGACATGCTTGAGCCCGTTGGTACAGTCCCTCTGTCAGTCAATCTCATTGGGGGTCTTTCTCTCATTTTTTGACCTTCCACCTCTTCAAACATAATGTCCATTTCCAAGGAATAGCTCCTCCTCACAGCATCCCCAAGGTGTGCGGATAAACCTTTGTGGTCCTTACCTCTCAGGAGCACTTTCTCCAAGTCCCTGTTACACCCATACAGTTAAATCTACCAATGACCGGCACAATACACACACACACACATTTTTTTAAAATAACTGTATAATCATATTTTTGCTTTTCCAAAGTATGTTTTGCAACGATTACAAACATATTTCCATTATACAAACAGTGCTTTTTTAAAATCTTATTTTATTTGCTATCTAGCATACATAAGTATTGGATATTTTGTTTTACTTTAAATTATTCTGAATTTTAAAAGGGAGCATCCCAATATTTTTTTTTCCATTCAAGACTAATATTTATGTAGGGGTCAGTTCTTAAAAGTGTTAATTGCAGAGTTGGGTTTAATAATATCCTAAACTGCTGTTTACATCACAATATCACAAAACTTTTGAAATTACAGTTTTCTCATCAGCTTGAAAAAAGTGAGTGTCTAACACTGATTCATTGTCCATGCATTTCTTTTTTCTTTTTACAATTTTTTTCCTTAGAGCTCTGGTGGCCTAGTGGCAGGAAGCTAAACTGCAATCCCAAAGGCCCGCCATTCGAGGCCACCAGCTGCTCTGCGGGAGAAGGATGGGCAATCTCCTCCCGTGGGATTTACAGCCTCTGAAAACCCGCCAGAGGGTCAGCTATGGGTTGGTTCTGACTTGACAGTAAACAACAACAACACACTTCATACATACATTCCATAGTCCAGTTTTCAAATGGAATGTTTTCAACTGTTTCTACTCAATTTGAGTCCTGCCACAACAGCAGAATCTGTTTCTCCTCATTCGCATCTTGCCACACCACCATTCTGCTGTCATTTTGCCCAACTTGGGGCTCCCATGATGCTGGAAGCTATACCACTGGTCTTTCACATACCAGCAGGGCTACCCCTGGTGGACAGGTTTCGGCAGAGCTTCCAGACTAAGACAGACTTAAGAAGCAGGGCTGACCATCCCCTTCTGAAACAGCAGGACTTCTAAAGCTCTCTGGATAGCAAATGAGTGTTGTTGGCTGTGGTGCCGGGAGATGGGCCTTCAGGTTGCAGGGTCCTCAAAGTGCAACTAAACTGCTGCCTTCTCAAAGTCGAGTCTCCTGTCATAATTGGGAGGAGTAAAGCTACCACCCAGTGAAGAACCTTCGTTTGCTGGCAATGTGACCTCACTGCTTGAGGGGATGTAAATTTTATCTGGAGCAAAGTTCCATGAGCAGCAATGTGACTCAAAACAGTAGTGACCTCAGGAGACATCCTACCTCCTCTGACTGTGAATGAAACATAAATAGGAACAGGCAGCTGACCAGCAGGCCAGGCATTCATTTAATACGGATGTCCCGAAAATAAGATAGTCAAATAGACTTTTGTAATAGCCAGCCTGTCCCTGACGGTCTGGAAGGTTATGAAGATGCACAAGGTGATACACACGTGAAAGAGACTGAGGAAATGCTCGCAGGTGGGACTGCGATGGTTTGCGCTCAAATTCGAGTATGAATATTGGCAGTTCAAACCCACCTGGTGGCACCTTGAGGAACAGGTCTGAGAGTGTCCTTCTGTTAAGATGATGGCCCAGAAGACCCGATGGCACATTTCCATTGTATCACACACGGTTGTCACAAGTCAGCATCAACTCACGGGTACCTAACCACAGTGAGACCGGTCAGAACCCTAGAGAGCCAGTCACCCCTGGATGAACCAGAAGTATTGGAAACCAAATAAAAAGTGGGACGACTTTCAAATACCTAAACTTTTCATGCATTCCTCAAGCCACACTGAGCCGTGAGTAAAAGGTAGAAATATGACTCGTTTAAGGTCTTCAGTAACAACCTTTGATTAATGGCAGTCCGGCCACTTCACTTAGGCTGGCCAGGGCAAAACCTAGGAGGCTAGGCTTTAAAAGAAATACAAGATTTAAAAAAATGAGTGGATGAGCATTTGGGGTATTTCCATCTCTTTACTATTGTGAATAATGCAGCAGTAAGCACGTCTATGTCACAGCTCTGGTTTCTTTGGGGTGCATTCTTAGTAGTGGGATAATACCAATCTCTTTGAAACCATCACTGAAATGGGGTGGGAGGAAACACCCATGAGTGAATATATATCAGAAGCTACACTCTATGAGGTAGACAGACTCGACACAGTTAGTACGAGGGAATAGGAAAGAATTAGAGTCCATGGTTGCTAGCGATCCTAGCCATTTGCCCTGAATATGTGAGATGAAGCTTTATCATCTTTGCCTCCAGGGAACACTAGCTGCACCTTCTCCAAGACGTATCTGTTTGTTCTCTTGGCAATCCATGGGATTATTCAGTACTCTTCTCCAGTACAATTCAAAGGCATCAATTCTCCTTCTGTCATCCTTAGTCCAGCTCTCAGCAGCATAGCAAGTGATTAAGAAGACCTTGGTCTGAATCAGGTGCACCATAGTCCACAGACTGACATCACTGCTCCTCAATAATTTGGAGAGGTCCCTGACTGCAGACATTCCCAGTGCAGTATATACATATCCTGATCTCCTGACTGCTGCTACCAAGGGTGTTGATTGTAAATCCAAGTGAGATTAAGTTGTTAACAGTGTAAATCTTTCTCCATCTATCATGATGTTGCCTACTGGTCCGGTGGTGAGAATTTTAGTTTTCTTAACATTGAGATGCAGTCCATGTTTGATCTTCTACAGCAAGCACTTTAAGTCCTCACTTTCAGCAAACAGGGTTGTGTCTGTCTGTTTCATTGGAGAGGGGCACATGCTTGGAAAGGCGGAGGGTCGGCAGAAGAAGATCTTCAGCCCCGTATATTGACACAGTGACTGCAGCAACAGGCTCAAGTGTGTCAGAGATTGTGAAGATGGCTCAGAAAAGGACAGGGTTCAGATCTGTTGTTCAGAGCAATGCCACAGGTAATACTCAATTTGACAGCATCTAAAAACAACAGTGATGGCTATAGTTTCTAAAATAGTCCACTTTAAACAAAAAAAAGGAAAATAAATCATGACATATTACAGAGAGACAGGACACATACACTTTAAACAAGTAGTCAAAGAGTAGTGTCACAAAATAGCTAAAGAATACCATGTTCTTTAAAGAATTAAAGCCTGAAAAAAAATCACTTATCAAATGGTAATAATAAGATATAGAAACATTATTTTAAAAGAATCAAATGAAAAATTGAGGGTTTATAAAAAAGTTTACTACAACAGATTAATGGCAGATTTGAAATGCTGGGAGAAGAAATTAGCAAACATGAAGATAAAACAGTTGAGATCATCCAATCTGAAAACAAAAACAGATTAAAAAAAACAAGAATTTCAGAAACCCTTGGGACACCATCAAATGTATTAACAGACACATAATGAGAATCCGAGCAGAAGGGGACTGAGAGCCGAAAAAAATTGAAAGAAATACTAGATACATGATCAGCGCCCATGGAAGCAGCAGCCAAGAAATGTAATGAAGCTTTGCAGTGGGCCATTGTGATGATGCAAAGAACAGCGTAAAGGTCATGGTATTTTCATTTACCTTGTGTGCATGTTTGACAGTGTACAAGAAAGACTAAAGGAAAACTGATGTCTCTAAGTTGTGGTGGAGGTAAAAAATAATGAACTTACCGTGAACTACCAAAAGAACTGGGGTTCCAACTGGACAGTACTTAACAACAGTCCAACCTAAAAAACAAATTAACCTGCCTTAGGGAAGGAGCAGCCAAATGTCCTTTAGAAGTAACCATGGTGAGGCTTCTTCTTGTATCCTTTGAGCATGTTTTCGGGAGGGGCTAATCCCTGGGGAAAGATGGATGCTTGGTTAAGTAGAGGGTCATCACAAATAGAAGTGCCCTCAGTGAGATGTGTTGGCTCAGTGGTCATGACAATGCGCTTAACCACAACAGGGATTATGAGAATGACGCAAGATTGTTGTTGTTGTTGTTGTGCCCCATCAAGACAGAACTGACCCACAGCTGATCCTCTGGCAGGTTTTCAGAGGCAGTTAATCACACAGGAGGAGTTTGCCCATCCTTCTCCCATACAGGAGTTGGTGGCCTCGAACCGTGTGCCTTCAGGATTGCAGTGCAGCTTCTTGCCACTAGGACACCGGAGCTCCCTGTGCAAGATTAGGCAGTGTTCCATTCTGTTGTACTTAGAGCTGCTATGAGTCAGATCAACTTGCCGAATCCTAACAACAGTAAAGCTACAGTCAAAATCAAAGATGAATATCACAAGCATAAGGTTGAGTAAAATAGGTAGATTCAAAAGAATATTATTTCATACAAAGAAAGTTTTAAAATAGCCAAAATTAAAGTGTTTAAGGACACAAACCTGGTTGGTAAAACTAGAAAGGAGTTGTTTACCTGAAAATAAAGCTAGCACTTACTGTAGGAATAGAACAGGTAAGGACTTGGGAGGCTTCCTGGAGGAGGGCCCTTGGGGGCCTGTTGATGTCCAAGGAAGCTGTGATTATTATATGATTATAGATGAGGTGGTTATGTGCCATCAGGTTGGCACTGACGCTTAGCTGACCCTCCAGTGTGTTTAAGAGGCT